AGATTCGTGATGTAACACAGCTGACCATAAGAAAGTGATTCACTAGTTGTCCTAGCTCAAGCCAAACTTGAGACAACTTGAAAGCTTTTTGAGATAAGATACCCATCATAAACAGCTTTTGTGCTAATAGTTGTTGTTGACTGATGAATTCCTTGACAGTGGTCTGAACTTTGTCCATCTTTTCANAGCTTTAACTTCACAGTACTGTTTGCATACCAGATTCGTGATGTAACACAGCTGACCATAAGAAAGTGATTCACTAGTTGTCCTAGCTCAAGCCAAACTTGAGACAACTTGAAAGCTTTTTGAGATAAGATACCCATCATAAACAGCTTTTGTGCTAATAGTTGTTGTTGACTGATGAATTCCTTGACAGTGGTCTGAACTTTGTCCATCTTTTCATTGGCAATGTCTCTGTTAAACGATAAAAGTTGGATTAATGTTATAAAAAGTATGTTTGATAACTTACGATTCAAAAAACAGTTTCATTTCATCAAACGGTGACTTTGGTTCAATAGCATTTTTAAATTCAGTTGTCACCTTTGAAAGCTAAAACCCAACATTAAGCATTTAAACAGAGGCGTTTGCGTCAATCTTACCTGCTCCAGAGATCGAGAATATGGAGAATTGCGAAGGCGAATGGCAATCTTAGGCGTCATTTTTATCAATAAACTGTATTCGGCCCAAAAACGGTCATTCTTGAGCAAAGAAATAAGAGCGCCGACGGACTTTAGACACTGAGAAAATTCTGCAAATGAAACAGATACAGATAAACTGTCTGCGGATTAACAAATGTTCTTGACTTGCCTCTAGTCTGCTTCAACTCGACAACTTTGGCTCTAGAATCCTTGTCCATAATTCTGGTTTTATTCTGATCAACAACTAAAAGTACAAGCGTTGTATGAAATGTTTTCAAAACAAATCGACATGTGACTCTCTCGTGATCCCATACGCAGAAAGCGTTACTGGGCATTCAAAATTCAAAAGATGATCGATTTGTAAAATCAGCTTTTAATGAAAAATAATATACAGTGAAAAAAGTAATAAATAAAGTTTAAAAGACATTAGCTGATGCTAAAAATCGCCCAAATACGGGCAAATACATTATAATAACTCCTATTCCGTGTATTTGTACTCAAGCTCGTTGATTTCGGCAAAGTATTTGCCCACTCCGGGTATTGATTCGAGGCACTTGTAGTTGAGCACGCTGAGGTAGCAGGCAACCTGAAAAGGAAAGAAAAGGTGTCACAAAATTTTCGGCAATTCCAAGATCAAGTCACACTCACCAGGTAGAGAACGAAAATGACGTAGAAGACGCCGTAGATGGCGGCAATGCCGTAGATGAGCCACTTGAAGGAGCTCTCAATTCCGATGACCGTCTGAATGACAAAGTACACGTTGATGACGACCACCACCAGCGAGAGCAGCGTGGCGGTAATCTTGTTGAAGGTGTTGTTGGAGAACTTGCCCATCACCAGCTTCGAGGAGGAGAAGGTGAGCGTGGGCAGAATGGCAAATGGAAGCTGAATGACCATCAGCGCGTTCAGGTAGTCGTTCATGCCCGTCAGCTTGTCCACCGTCGAGGTAAGTGTAACCGCGAGCGTAGGTGCGATGGCGATGGTGCGAGTGAGCAGCACTCGCTTCCACCGGGGCCAGTTGAGATTCCTGGAAGGCAAAGGCAAATGAGTGTTGTGAATCATTTCAGTGGGCTCTATTAGCTTTGGTAATTGTAATTGTCTTACAGAAAGCCCTCCATGACAAACTGACCGGCGTAGGTGCCGGTCATAGTGGAGCTTTGCCCGGCGGCCAGAATGCCAATAGCCCAGATGTAGAAGGGCCAGGCGCCAAAGCGACAGCCAAGGAACATGCCCGCCTTGTAGAGGTCGGCGTCAAAGGTGGAGTTGTCGTTGGAGAGGACGTTGTAGTCGATGTAGCTCAGATTGCCCTTGGCCGTGCAGAGGTCGTAGACGTAGTCGTTGGTGCGGCCAAAGAGGCCTTTGGCAAAGACCGCCGTCACGGAGAGGTTGATGAGAAAGGAGACAAAGAGGGCAATGGAGGACTCGATGAGCACGTAGCGGTTGGCGTCCTTCGTCTCCGCTCGGTTCCTGTTGTCCACCCGGCGCGACTTGACCAGTGCTGAGTGAAGGTACAGGTTGTGGGGCATGATGCTGAGAGGGAGGGGAAGGGAGAGAAAGGATGAAAAAGTAATTAGTTTATAGGCGCTCAAATTGGGTGCTCTATTTTGCTCGGCAGCACCACATACATTGCCCCAACGATGCTGACCGCCTGAGTGAGAGCGTCCTTGTCGCAGTCAGAGCACC